GGTCGAGATTTTCTGGACGATTGCCGAGAAGCCGGGGAGCGACATCCGCCTCGACCTCGGCGTGCCTTTCCGCCCCAAGGCGTGGCCACGATCCTCGATTGACCCGGCGCCGTGGCGCTGGCGGCCGACGTTGTCCTTCCCGTGGCCGAAGTCATCGAGGGAGCTGCATATCAACGCGCTCGAGTTGAAGGCGGTGAACGCTTCCTTGCGGCACAGGACTCGCGCTACCTCGTTCAGGAGCGTGAAGGTTCTGCACCTTGTCGATTCCCAAGTTGTGGCCTCGATACTGACCCGCGGCCGCGCGTCATCGGGGAAGCTTCGAGGACTCGCTCGACAGTGCGCTGCTATACTCGTCAGATCAGACTTGTACGTGGGCGTTGGGTATACCAATGCCAAGCTTAACCTAAGTGATCGGCCGTCCAGAGAGTTCTTGATTAAGAAATGGCGCCGAAAAGGGTCCAAGTGACAGCTCGCGGCGGCAGGCGTCGCAGCTGGTTGCATGTGCGTTCTCAATTCAGTAAGCGAGGCACGCGGTTGCGCGACCTACAGGTCACTAAAGCCACGCGTGATCGGCATGTTCGATGTGCCGGTCGCCTTTTTGCGTGGTGGAAGGCGCACAGTGTGAAGCTGTCCTCGCTCAACGACGCGGACAAAAACCTCAGCTTGTACATGGAAGCGTGTTGGGCAGAGCTGGAGCCGCTTTACCTGGCGGTCAATGCGACAGCGGCTTTGCAGTGGATGATGCCCTCCTTGAAGGGCAACCTGCAGCAGAGTTGGAGCCTGGTGCGAGCGTGGGAGAGGCAGTGCACGCCTTGTCGGGCGACACCGTGCACGGCCGACATGGTCCTAGCCTTGGCAGCTGCAGCGTGGGACCTCGGCTGGAAAGGTCTGGCGACCGTGATGCTCGTCGGTTTCGGCACTTTCATGCGCACAGGCGAGCTGCTGGCTCTCAGACGGCGGCACATCCTTGTCAAAGATGAGCGGGCAGTTATTCATATCGAGGCCTCAAAGATGGGACTGCGAACTGGCTTTTCAGAAGTGGTTTCTCTCAATGACGGAGTGTCTCGAAAGATCCTAAAATACAGATGCATGCTGCTGGGGTCGGAAGATCTGCTGTGTGGAGCGACGGCGCCTGAAGTTCGAAAGCGGTTGTCCTGGTTGCTTCAGATGTTCGGCTTTCAGTACCGAGGGTTCACAATGCACAGCCTCCGCAGAGGAGGTGCGACCGCCCACTTCACCCGCCATAGAAATATGGAGTATACTCTTCAACAGGGCTGGTGGGGCGGCACGAAAGTAGCCAGAATGTATTTGTCTCAGGCAGTTGCTGATGCCGTCGCTCTCACCCTTCTGCCTAGCACCAAGGATAGAATTCGAGCTGCCGCTCTCCGCTGGAAAGATATTTTAAGACAGCTGAGGTTGTAAGACTTGAATTGTACATTCGATCCAGTGGTACCTTACCCGATGGCATCAGTTTAAGATAGGTCGGCAGAGCCACAATAGGGGGACGTGGAAGGCTCTCGAGGGGTGGCCCCGGGGGTTTAACACGTTAAACTGTGTTTCCTGGTGTTTGCGGGGCCAATTGTACTCGGCGGGCTGCCTTACCCTCTAGGGGTCAGTGCGGCCGGCGAGCCAAGCTCGCTGGCTAGCTCGCTGACCTGCTGGAGGGTGCTGGTGCTCGCCGTGTATGGGCCCCTGCCAGGTCCCGGTGGCCGTTTCTCCTCGAGTGTGCTTGAGCCTCGTGCACTTTGAACCTGTGGCGGCGCGACGCCCAAAAAGAGGAAGCCCCAAACATGTAACATAACACCCTCGGGGTTGGGCGTATGTTTGGACCTTTTAGGCAAAGCGCCGCCGTCGAGCGAGCAGGTGATATAATGTTCGCCCGACGGGCCTCGGGAGAGCTCAGGGTGAACACTCCTTCGCTCGATCGTTCCGTAGGTGTACGGCTCAAGCGGCCTTCCGTCCATCCCCAATTCTGCCACCTTTTAGGTCAGGCTCTCGAGGGGTGGCCCCGGGGGTTTAACACGTTAAACTGTGTTTCCTGGTGTTTGCGGGGCCAATTGTACTCGGCGGGCTGCCTTACCCTCTAGGGGTCAGTGCGGCCGGCGAGCCAAGCTCGCTGGCTAGCTCGCTGACCTGCTGGAGGGTGCTGGTGCTCGCCGTGTATGGGCCCCTGCCAGGTCCCGGTGGCCGTTTCTCCTCGAGTGTGCTTGAGCCTCGTGCACTTTGAACCTGTGGCGGAGCGACGCCCAAATAGAGGAAACCCCAAACATTACAGTGCCGTTTTTAAATGCTCCGCGTGCGGATCATGTGTTTAAAAAATACAGGGTTTTGTTTTGAACAACTATGGGTTCATGCATACATTCATTCATCGTGTATTAGAAACATATATTTCTTCAGAACCCTATGAATTTAAAACTGCCCTGTACAAAAGATTCACAGTATGTGTGGTCCGGTCGTGCGCCTCCAAGGAGGACGTAGTATTAGTAACTAGTACGACCTGCATCCCAGCCAGCCCCGTTCGAAGAACGTCAACATGGCCTTCCAATGCTCTTTCACTCCTGCCGCGCACTCTTGTTATGCGTCGTTGGCCTGATCCCGCCGCTAGAGGCTACTGCGAAAGCTGCCTGGTCCCTGCCCGACCTTCGAGTTTTGCTCTGTACTTGCTGAGGCCAGCGCAGAGGTTCCCAATATGATCCCATTACTCGAAGGAGACACAACGGCATAAACACAATTTCGGTCCGCGCGGATTTCTTGCATGTGCACCAGGCCCCCCTGGCGGCGCCTCCGCTGCCACCCTTGGCGCGCTCCGCGTGCCAGGGAGGGGGGTCCAACGCGGATCCAAGAACTCCGAGCGGACCGTCGAAAGTTAATGTTTATGATGTTGTTTCTCCTTCTCTACATGATTACAGTCTGTAGCCACTTCGGCCCAAGCTATTCGAGCACTGCGTTTGCTCGATGACGTGCGATGCAGGATTCTTGCGGCTTCTCAGTCGCACTGAGCACGGCGCTCAGCGATCCAGAGGCCGTCGCCCTGGTGGATGCCGATTTGGGTATCGTTGGACTACACGAGCTGCGAGTGGCGGCTGTGGTCTTCTCGGCATCCAGCGGTGAAGACGACCACACCGATTTGTTCCACCGGGAGTTCGTGTGGCGGACGTGCGTGCGACGCATGGCGGGGCGTTCTGAAGAGAAACGTATCGGTATGTTTACGGTCGGAGGGCAGTCCACACTAGTTCAGCAGATCAGGACCGCACTCCGTATGGACATGCTGACGGGAAATGTACGATGGTCGGCGTGCGAGAGGAGCACGAAAACGACAAACAAAATGTCGAGACGGCCATACCCGGATGCCTTCCCAGGCCCCCAAGATAGCCCAAGACGGGTTAAGGCGCCGCGAGAGTGTTGCAAATGGACCGACGACGGCCCAAGAGACTTCCCAGACTGGCCCAAGAAGGTGAGCATAAAGAACACTGAACTCACGATCGGCAAGCTAACCAATGGCAAGCCTGCATCAAGGATGCATCCCTGAAGGGGGCTTCTTTTTTTTCAAAGGCAGGCTGCACTTCGCACATAGAATGCAATCTAAGCTCAAGCGGCACGCGATGCAAAGGCAAGCTGCACGCTAAGTGCCGGAAGACCGTGGCCCAAGAGAAGCGACGGGCTTTTTGGAGGAACTGGGTGGTTGAAGCCCTTGGCAGAATCGGCCTTTGCAGGCGGACGCCGCTGGCCCTACCGTTTCGGGCGAAGACCACAAGTGTGCAAACGTGGACCGGTGGCTGGCGGTCGGCGTGATTCGACGAGCTCGCGGCGTGTCCAACGCCTACACTCGCCGACAGCCTTGGATCATCGGTGGCCCGCTCTGCCTCGAGCGGCGCCGGGGCCTCGCAGTGGACCCCCCCGAAGGCGCGCCCCGCCCCTGGGAGTTGGCACTCGGGCCGCACGCCGCGGCGCTCGGCGTGGGCAGCAGGCCAACAGCGCCATCAGAGCCGCTTCGGCATGCCGGCCAAAGCGCTCCTCCCCCTCCTCCTCCTCCTCCTCCTCCTCCTCCTTCTCCTCCTCCTCATCCTCCTCCTCCGCATCCTCCTCCTCCTCCTCCGCCTCCGCCTCCGCCTTCGCCTCCGCCTCACTCTTATCCTCCTCCGCCTCCTCCTCCTCCTCCTCCTCCTCCTCCTCCTCCTCCTCCTCCTCCTCCTCCTCCTCCTCCTCCTCCTCCTCCTCCTCCTCCTCCTCCTCCTCCTCCTCCTCCTCCTCCCCCACCTTTAGAGAGTTCCAGGGAGTAGGTATCGGTACCTTGTTGTCCCCACGGGTGCGGCTCAAAACGAGCTTGGCGCCATCCGAACCGTTCCCGGGCAAGAAGTTGCCAGCATTCGGAGGGCGTGCACGGCAGTCGAGATACATGGGGGAGGAGAAGTTGCCATTTGACGGCACCGTGGGCATCGCCATCTTGCCTCGTCTTCGAGTATCCAGAGCCTGGACCTCCCGTTACACCCCCAGACTTTTTGGGTTGGATGTCCCAGAACCGGCCTCCAGAGGCCCAGTGGGGGAAGCGCAGGTCATCCCGATTGTATGAAACCGCCAGATGTCAGGCGATCGCAAACATGGATCACGGGGGCGTGGATTAGTGACGGGTCGTGTTTCCATGGGAAATCTCAGATTTCCGCCGCCGAAGGAGGCGGCACCGGCTGCATTTTGGAGAGGGCACCTCTCCCGATCCATGGATTTGGCGACCGCGTGCAGCGCTAATCCATGTTTGCGCGCCCCCGACAGATGGCTCCGCCACTTTGGTCTCATAAATATGGGGACGTTTTCTCTTCTATTTCTTACCATGCTTGCATCTTTGTTGGACCATGTTTTCGAATTTTCGCCCAGAGTCCGCCTGCAGGAGGACATGCCCGACCTCACCGTAGCCACTTTGGCCGAAGGCGTTGCTCGAGCCTGCCGGCTCGATTGGCCGCCTCCGCGCATGGCTCGCCGCCGGGCCGCGCGAGCCCTCGCGTCAGCGGCTGCCGCGGCGGCGCTGTGGTCCGCCGGCCACTTCGCCGCCGGCGCCTGGGCGGCGGCGGCGCGTGTGCCCCGCAGCGGCGTCGGCGCCGCGCCGCGCTGGCGCGGCCCGCCCGCGCTGGCGGGCACGCGCGCGGGCCCCGAGAGCGATGCCGCCGCGCTGCTGCGGCGGCGCGCGCAGGAGAGCAGGCGTCTCTGGGCTGAAGTCGGGCCTGCCCCTCCACAGGAGGAACGTGTAAGGATCGTCGAAGAATCGATCGGGGACGCTCTCTCTGGGATCTTTGGATCATGTCTGAGATTTTGTGGACTGTTAGTCGAATTTCGCCCTCCGCCCATGGCCCCAGTGGGAAAGTTCGCATGGCACCGCTGCCCCATTTCGGCCCCACCTAAGGTCCCAGTGGGAGAGTTAGCATGGCACCGCCGCCCCATTTCGGCGCACCCCTCACACGCTTCGTGGCCTCATTGGGGAGCTAAACATCCGCCTGTAGGGGGACATGCCCGACCTAACTCTAGGCCTTCCAGATGGGGTCGGAGCAGGTGGCGTTGGAGTCTCGCGCCGCAGCACCGAGGCCTCCGCGAGCGCGGCTTGATGGGGAGCCCGATTTGCTTCACGTCGGCGTCGCCGATGCATTCGGGGGCGGCCAAGAGGGAGGTGATGACTAGGGGAGGGTGGATATCATGGCGTCGGCCATGATATTTCCTCAAACTTCATAGCGCCTCTTCTAATGTCATCACGTCCCTGCCCCCCCCCCCAGGGCCGCGCACGTGCCGCCGGCCATGATTTGCCCCCCGCCCCCCCTCTTGGGCGCCCCCCTCTTGGCCGCACCCGATGTGTCGCGGACGTCGCCGCTGCATCGGCGATGCGGCGCGATCCTCCGACCCCATGTGCTCCGACCCCATCTAGGAGGCCGTCCTAGCATCGGGGGCAGGAACATGACCGCGATCTGTTCGGCACCGCCACCGCGCACGGTTACGGACGTTATTTGGGGCAGGTTCGCGAGAGAGCGAGGGAGAGAGACGTCCGACCACATGTGTGCACTTTGTGTCGGGCGAAATCCAGTATACCTTACAGCGGGGGCGCGCATCAAGAAACCATCTGCTTTTCGTCAGGGTATCCCGGGTCTCTTCGCTGCGGTGACTTCCCGCAGCCGTTGGAGAAGCTGCTGCGGTCAGGGTGCTCCAGGCTTCCCCTCAGGTGCACCTCGCGCGCGGGTTTTCAGGGTTGGGTTTCTTGCGAGGGTCTCTTGCGGACGCGCCCGCACTGTGGTGTGCATACGTGCGGCTGCCAAGGTACCCTCTGGTGGCCGACGAGGCGGTCATGTCGCAGAAGGCGCACGGCACGAGCCCGAAGCCGGTGCAGGAGGAGCTCGGAGGCGGTGGTACCGATGTTCCGACATTCTCTCAAGCAGTGGCGAAGCGTTTTGGTTCGCCTATCGCCCTACCAAACAATGTTCTAAGAACTTTCTGTGGTTTCCACGAAATGTTCTTAGAACATTGTTGGCGGAGGCTGTCTTGATTTATCACGTCGGGTTTATGTTCTAAGAGCATTGCTTTTGTTCTTAGAACATGCTTGGGTTCTAAGAACATCTCGTTGTAGGACTGCAGGAATGCCGGGACGGCGGGTCCCTGCTCAAGACACTATCGGGAGGGAGAGGAGCAGTGATTCGCCGTCTTTGCAAAGCAGCTCACGTCTCTTCACAACACACGCTGGTGGATTCCCACTGCGGCGTGTCATTGATGCTGTCTTTGGCACCCCACATGCCGCTGCCCTGTACTCTTCTCGCATGTTTTTAGATCTTCGCTTTGGGTGCCTTCCTTGTGCACACGTCAGATCTGTTCGACTAGCTTGGCTGGACTCTATTCGATTCGAGCTCGGCTCGCCTCTATTCTGCTCGACTTGAGCTCGACCAGATCCTTGGGGACACAATTCGATTCGAGGTCGACTCCAGCTTGACTCCAGCTCGACTCTAGCTCGACTCAAGTTCGACTCAAGGTCGGCTCAAGTCGACGGGCGTTCGATGCTGAGTCGACGCATGAGTGGAGCGCGTGGCTCCAAGAAGGTCCCCAGAACGACCATCTAACCTCTGTTCCCCGCCCGGGAGGCCTCCGTCGGCACGGCTGGACCCGCCTCGGATCCCTGGTCAGAACGCACCCCGGGAGAGGTCCGAGGAGCTTGCGGCGCAGGTTGAATGGAAACCTAAAGAACCCTGCTTGCTTCCGTGGTGCCCTGGGTTTCTTGGGTTTCGATGGCTTTGCTATGGAAAGCGTGACTTTCCCACATCAAAAGTCGATGGACGTCCTGGGGTCTCAGGGTTGGGCTTCTTGTGGAAGGTTTCTTGTGGTTGAGTTCCTACTGTGAATGTTCTGGCTCCCTCAGAGGAACTGAGGTGGAAGTGCGACCGCGGCACCGCAGACCGCATATGCTGCTTCAACCGGCACTACGCCGAGCGATCAGGCTACTGGCGCTCCACGTCGTTCATGGACGAGGTCGATCGCGACGGCGAGACAACCTACTACGACTCGGTGACCGGCAAGGTGTTTGTGTTGTTGTTCGTTGTTTTGCCGATCGGCGCGGGCCCTTGCACACCCCCTCCCCCTCCCCATGGGGTAGATCCGCCTGTCTCATGCAGGTGGAACCTCCCCCATCGGACGCACTGCTGTAAACAGACGCAGTAAGCAGAGGTCCGGAGCCAGACCCCCCTCTCCCCCCGTTCCGCCCAATGTCGAAACGCCGAATAAGAAAACGTTGACAAGGCGCTGTTTGTGGCGCCGCGCGGACGATCTTTCGAGGAGTTCGTGCAGGAGTCAGACGCTCACGGGTGGCCGTCATTCCGCGATGAGGAGGTAGTGTGGAAGAACGTGCGTTGCTTGAGGGACGGCGAGTGCGTCTCTGTTGACGGGACGCACCTTGGGCACAACCTCCCGGACAGGAAGGGCAACCGCTACTGCATCAATCTCGTGTCCGTTGCGGGGCGGCCAGAGTGAGGATTTGCCAGATCTCAGCCGTTCCGTTGCCGTTCGCCCTCCAGGGCCTCGAGCTCGTGTCGCGCCCTCCCGTCAATGTCGTGGGAGTGGTGATTCGGTCGATCCACCCCTGAGCTTCCGCTGCTGGGAGTCGCAGTAGGCGGGTTTCTCGCGCACAGAGGGGTGAGCGTTGTCAGCCTGAGCCGTGTATCAAAGATGCATCTCATCGCATGCTAGAAGCGATCGGCGAAGACACCTGAATCTGGAGGGGCGGAAGTCGAGCTCCATCAGAGAAGAGCAACCGTACGCACACTCACTCTCGAGGCCCCGCGCGGATGTCTTGGACCAACGCTGGGCCACCTCTCCGACTGTCGCGCTCCGAGCGTCACCGGAGGCTTGGCATCGTTCGGACGTGTGTACTTTTCTTTCGGCGAGGAGCATCGAGGAGCATCCTTGATTATTTGGCGAAAAAAAAACACCCACGAAACCGAAAAAAATACAGGGAATGGACGTCCGAGCGATGGCGAGGGAGGGGACCTCCGACCGTCTGTGCTCATGCACTGCTCGGCCTCTCTCTCTCTCGTGAGGGAAGCGGGGCGAGAACCCGCACGACAACCGACATCATGCCATCATACCGACTGCTCCTCCTCCTCCTCCTCCTCCTCCTCCTCCTCCCCCTCCTCCTCTTCCTCCTCCTCCTCCTCTGGGACACTCTTCCTCCGCTTTCTCCGCCTCCTCCTCCTCCTCGACTTCCCTCCCTCCTCCTCCTGCTCCTTCGCCGCCCTCTCCCCGTGGGCGACGGAACTCCCCGCTGCCCGCCAGCTCGGGGGGGGCGGGCCCTCGGGCCGGAGCCCCGGCCTCGAGGTCTGAGGAGGCTCGGCCTCGCCTCTCGTCGGGGCCGCCCCCGCTTTCGGGCAAGCAGCATACCTTCGCCTCCTCCCGACATAACCCTGGTGGCATCCACTCCAGGGTCTTCTGGAGACCTTCAGGGGCCCACAGGTGGCCGGAGGCGTCCAGCAGCCTCAATCTCACCAGCCTCGAACGTATCCTTTATCCCTAAGATTGACACGCTAAAAGGAGATGACAATCTTAGGGATACACCCTCAGAAACTGAGGAAATCTCTAAGATCGCCATCGTGATGAGGCGATGCCCAACATAGGGACAGGGATGTGTTCCAGGCTGGTAACAATCCTCGGCCCACGGACCTCGCTTCTTCTCCTACGTTGCAATCTTGGGTGTCGACGTGGGTCCGCACTGGATCTCGACGCCTTCACCCAGCCGACGTTTCATCCCGAAACGGCCTCAAGAGGACGCAAGCGCAGAACTGTTGACGGTCACTTCTCTGCAACGTCCGGATCTGAGGGTCGATCCTCCCTCCTCGCCTCGTGGGGCGGAGGGGCAACTCGACGAACGACACCGGCCCTCGAACCCTGTTGCGAACTCGGAAGCCTTGAGACGGGGGTCGATGCAAACGGGGGTCAGCCAGGGCACCGGATTCTGCAGGATCCTGCGAAGACCCCCTCTGGCTGACCCGGGTTTGCGAGCCGCTCGTGGCCGCGAGGCGGCCGAGGATATTGGTTGACCCGGGTTTGCGAAGACCTGCGTTGCAGCTTTTTTTTTTTCCTGCGTTGCAGTTTTTCGGTTCCCTGCTGACCCGGGTCTGGATTGAACCGGGTCAGAAGATCCCCGACGAACCTTCGATCTTCCCGCCTCCCTCCTCGCCTTGCCCGGTTTCAGGGGCGAAGTGACGAACGAGATTCAGGAGGAGAAAAACACACAGACACAATTAATAGTCGATTCCCTAGAAAATATAAGAAAATATGGGCAGTGGGGGGGAAGACAGAAACCCAGAAAATATGGGAAAATTTGGGAATCCTTTTATTTGTGTGTATTTCTTTGTGTGTCCTGGGGCCCCTTCAGATACAGAGCTTCGAACCCTCGGCCCTCGATCCATCGCTTCTCCACCCCCCGCCCTGCCCGCTGCGGGGGCAAACCGACGAGCGGCATCGACCTTGTTCGGGTCCTCGGCCCTCGAGCGCTTTTCCCTCGCCTTGCCAGGGCGGAGTGGCAAGCCGAAAAGCGAGACCTAGCATAGACTTTGTCGGGCCTGTCCCTCCACAGGAGGAATCTGCAAACATAGTTTAAAAGATAGTCTGGAGTTTAGAAAATAGTCTGGGGACGATGTCATGACCATTTTTGCATATTTTTGGGGTATGCCTAAAATCCCCCAGTAGGGGGACACGCCCGACCTAGCTGACGATCGGTACCGATCCTCGGACCCTCAACCCCCCGCCCTTGAACTCTCGAGCCCACGATCCTCCGTACCAGCCTGGAGCACATCGCCGTCCTAACGATGGGCATCGCCTGACATCGATGCCGGTCTCAGGGACAGCTTATGAGGGCGCATCCCTCAGATCATCACCTTTTCGGCTTGTCGGTCTCAGAGATAGGGATCGGCGGGTTGCCTCCCTCTTCCTCGCCCTGCCGGGCACAGGGGCAAGAAGACGAACGACATCGTGCCCGGCCACGGGTTCAAAGCGCCCCGCTCGAGGGCACCGCCCCCGCGGCCGCCGCGGCCGCCGCGCCGCTGCCCCCCTCTCTTCCTGGCCTCCTGGTCAACGCACGCGGCGCCGCGCCGATGGGCGGAAGGAGCCCGAGTATCCTTTCACCGATCCCTGCCCTAGGGGAACGCATACTGAAATAAGCCTGAACGCTCGCGGGTCCGCGCGGATTGCTCAGATCGGCGCTGGACCCCCTTCCCTGGCGCGCGGAGCGCGCCAAGGTCGGCGCCGGATGCGCCGCCAGAGGTGTCCAGCGCGGGTCCGAGAAACCCGCGCGGACCTAGAAAGTCCAGGGTTCACTAGGGACTGGCTTCTTGCCAAAACAGCCGAAACCATCCCGAAACCCTCCAAAAGCCCTCCGGGAAGGGTTCTGGGAGGGTTTTCGGAGGGTTTCGGGAGGGTTTGGAAAGGGTTTTTTTGTTGTTTTGGGAGGAAGCCAGTCCCTAGCAAACCCTGGGCTTTCTAACTATACCCCCATCCCGGTCCCCATCCCGACCCCCGCCATCACACCACCTATGCCCCTCGAGTCCCGGAGGGAGCAGCCCGTGTCTCCATCCACCTAGGGGGGGTACGTCGGGCAGTGTGGGGCCGAGGGCACGCCCGGGGAGAGGCGCAAAAGGCCCGAGCTCGTCGGAGCCCGGGGTCTGCCGACGCCTGCTGACGGGCCCGTCCTTGCTTCTCACGGTTCGGCTTTCGTGGGGTGTTTGCACCAGGCGATCGCAAACAGGGCTCAATGGGGCGTGGAGTAGCGACGGGCTTTGCTTCCATGGGAAAGATCGCGGATTTCCGCCGCCGAGCGAGGCGGCACCAGCCGCACTTTGGGGAGGGCGCCTCCCCTGATCCATGGATTCGGCGACCGCGCGCCAGATCCATGGATCGCTAATCCATGTTTGTGCGCCCCCGATTGCAGCGGGAGTTCGCGTCAGATTTCAGAATGGGTCTCGTCATTTTCCTGATGACCCCCGTGAGGCCAGTCCGAGTCGACAGACTTGAGTTCTTCTACCCCTCCCCGACCAAGGCCGACCCCGACCCCCCAGCGGTGATGACTTGCGCGCGGCACTCGAAAAATCGGGCGCTGGTCGCAGGTCATCACCGCTGAGCGGCTGGAGTTGGCTTCGGGGGGGCGCCGGAGGCGGCTCCCTCAGCCCAGAGGTTGTGGTTGTCTCGTCTTCGTTCCTCTCCTGATTATTGTCCACCACGGGCTCTCCAGAACGAGGGCCGATAGATACCCATATATCCTGGAACGTACCCTGAGCCAGTCCTGACATGACATCAGTCTCGTCCTTTCCAGGGGGAAAAAGGCCCGCAAATCCAGGTGGAGGAGGTGGAGGATGACCAGAGTAAACCCAGGATGCGTCAACGACGGTGCAACGCACTCTTCCGCCCCAAGTCCCAGTCCCTACAGGTACTCTCTTCCGCTGCGGGAAGTGCTTCCCTGACATGACGAGCGCCGTGTTGGCCTGACACTCATGCGAGACCCCGTATATAACGGATCCAACCTTCCTCCACCAGCTGAATCAACCCAACGAGATGGAATAAGAGAGTGCACGGAAGTGCCGATCGAGAGTTCGGTGTTGGACAGAACGTGCCATATACCCCACCCGTGTCAGTGTTGCGCAGCCTCCCAGTTTGGGTCGCGTTCATTGTTGCGGAAGTGTCAGGCGGTGCTCTCATTGTGAAATGACGCCAGCCTCCATCCGTCCCCGCTTGGATCTCAATCAAGCAGTGGCGAAGCGTCCCGGCTCGCCTATAGGCCCACCGAAGAATGTTCTCAGAACCTTTTGAGGTTTCTACGAATTGATCTCAGAACATGTCTGGCCGAGACCGTCTTACTTACACACATCGGGTCTATGCTCTAAGAGCAGTTGTGTTGCTCTTACTCTTGAAACATGTTTTGGGTTCTGAGAACATTCCGTGGTAGGCCTCTATAGGAGTGCCGGGACGGTCGGTCCCTGCTCAACGTCAGACCATCGGTGCAGAGGAAGAGAGAGCAGCACTGTGAAGCAGAGCCGCCCTGCGTCCGTGCCCGTGGCGCCACGGCTTCTCTCGGCTGCGGCAGGTCTGCGGCGAGGGCCCCGTCTTGCAGAGGAGCCGCCATTGTCCGTGCACCGGTCTGTCGGGGGTGGACAGACCTCCTACCCTGATGCGTCGATTGAGGCATTGTCCGTCTTCGGTTCGCGAGAGGGCGTCGCGGCCGTCCTTTCTGCGGGTCCAGGTCCGGCGGTTTCGGTCCCAGGCCGTTTTCACTAAAGGGAGGTTTACTAAAGGGAGGTTTGTCCACCGCCGAGTCTGGAACTTGTCACGTCCGAGGCGGGAATTGATCCAAAACCACCGCATGGGGGGTCGATCTTCGCGGACCTCCACAGGCGGTGGATATGGACATATTCGGGCCGCCGCTGGCCAAAATGTATCCACATCCACCGCCCGCCGTTGCACCAGGACGTCGGTTCCCAGGCGGTGTGTATGGATCAATTCCCGCCTCGCATCACGAACGTGCCACGCGCATGCGAGAGACGCACGATGCAATTTCTTGGCCTGCGACGAGCCCGCTCCAGCAAGCGGTCGGGCAAGGGCGGGACACGTCGGAGGCAAATTGATACGCGTTCGGGACGCACACCAACGTTGCGTCCGTGTCACCGTTGGATGTTTTAAGACGGCTGTGCGCGGTGCTCGCAGTTAATCCTGTGGGCGGCGACAGGAACATTGCAACCGACAAGGCAGGCCGGACCAGGGACCCCTGGTGGGCGTCGGGGAAGTTGCAACCCACAAGACCAATTAGCTCTTGCCCAGCCAAGTGCGAACTCTGCAGAGCGAGCAGAGGAGTTTAGAAAATACTGCGAGTGGACCGAACACCAAAAGCTGTGCCCATCCCGCCCAACCCGAGGGCGGGTCCTGTGGGTATCTCTTTGGCTTGAGGTTTACGCACCTCTTCTCTCTCCGATTCGCCAGAGGACTGGCGCCGAAACAGAGGCACCAGAGTGGAAGGGAGTAAAGTCAAGCAGCGGAGGTGGAGCAGAACCGTCATCTCTCCTATTCTAGGCCTCCTAGCTGGGGTCTGAGTAGAGGGGTCGGAGCATCAAACCGCAAGGCAGATGCATCGGCGATGCGGCTCGATGTGGAGCCCGATTTTCTCCACGCTGGAGTCGCCGATGCATCGGCGATGCATCGCCGATGTGTCGGCGATGCGGCGCGATCTTTCGCCCCCATCTGCTCCGACCCATCAAGGAGGCCTCCACCTCTGCCCCTCCTCTCTCCATGCATGTCCCTCCTGCTCCACATCCTTCAGGAGGGGAAAATACACACAGACACAATTAATCGTCAATTCCCCGAAAATATGGGAATTGGGGGGGAAGACAAAAACATAGAAAATATGGGAAAATATTGGGAATCCTGTTATTTGTGTCTACTTATTTGTGTGTCCCAGGGCTCCTTCAATCCTGCCTCCTCCTCCCTCCGAGCGCATCCGTAGCCATTTTGGCCCAAGCCGGTGAAGAGTCTACTAGCAGCGCGGCCGCAGCTCCAGCTCGGGCAACGACTGAGGCCGTCTCGGGCATGAAGCAGAAGGCCACTGTCAGTGTCTCCCGCCGCAAGTCCCGCAAGGCGTACTTCACGGCGCCGTCGCACATCCGCCGGAAGTTGATGAGCGCCCCCTTGAGTAAGGACCTCCGTGCCAAGTACTCAGTCCGGTCGTTGCCCATCCGGCGCGACGACGAGGTCATGATCGTGCGCGGGCACTACCACGACCGTGAGGGCAAGGTCACGCAGGTCTACCGGAAGAAGTGGCGCATCCACATCGAGCGCGTCACGCGCGACAAGGCCAACGGCCAGACGGTGCCCATCGGGATCCACCCCTCCAAGGTCACCATCACGAAGATCAAGCTGGACAAGGACCGCAAGGCCCTGTTGGACCGCAAGAGCGGCAAGGGCAAGAAGGGGGAGAAGTACACCGACAAGGACATGTAGAAGTGAGCCGCCTCGGGCAGCTCTGGGAGCGTGCGACCGTGCCTGGCGGAAAGTGTGCAGCGGGAGCGCTGGCTCGCCCCTCTCCGGGCGAGGCCGGGGGAGGGCTAACGGCAGGGTCACGCTGCGCCCTCGCAGCGGTGATCCAACCCCGCGGGCGTTCCAGGCTGAAAACGCCGCCACTGGCCCGGGGACCGGCCGATATCGGAGGGCCTGCGCTGCAGGGTCGCTCACGGTCGGACGATGCGCGCGGTGGCAGAAACCGACGCCAGTGTCATCGCGACGTGGACCCGCTTCACCCTGAGATCTGCGCGTTGCAGTCTGTGCACGCCGCTGGGTTTCGCCTAGTCTCGGGCCCGAGGCTGAAGTTGGGCACGTCCCTCGACAGCAGGAAGATTCCCCAATCAGAGCTTGCCTCTGTCGGGATTCTAGCGGATTCATATGCTCAGGTTAGGTGCGCCGCCGATTTCGGCGGCACGCCCGGGTGCCGGGGTGCCCAGGTGCCCGGGTGCCCGGGTGAGGTGCGCCGCCGATGTCCGCGGCCGGGTGCCCAGGTGCCTGGGTGCCTTATAGCCCTTAGCCCTATTGCATTTTACAGCCTTGTAGCCCCACAGCCCCATAGCCCCATAGCCCCTATAGCCCCATAACCCTCAAGCCCTATAGCCCTAGGGCCGTATAGCCCTATAGCCCGTGGCCCTATAGCCCCATAGCCCCATAACCCCAAAACATATTATGATTCGGGATTCTCTCCTGTATCATTCCAAACTAGTTTAAATAGTCTGGGGACGATTTTCCTAGCATTCTTGATCATGTTTGAGTATGTTTGGACCACGTTGCATGTGTCGTCCAAAATCCGCCTGTAGGGTGACACGCCCGACCTAACCCGAGGGCCATCTCGTGCCGATCGGGGTCGACAAGTGCCGCAGAATGATTGGGTCTGGGGCTCTGGTCGTGCGCTCTCAGTGTTGGCTGCAGCGCCGAACCTCAGGGTAACCCAGGAAGCTGGACACACATGACGCGGCCGGCTGGGG